CCTCCACGGACAGAAGAGAAACAGATTTATTGATCAGATTTTCTCACCAGATTACAGATTTTCTCTCCCATGTATTGAGGAGTACAAATACAAGCCATATATATAGGGAAGGGGATATAGGTAATCCTAATCCTACTATATATCTAAAGATGAGATTAGGAAAGATAATCCTAATCCTATTCCTAATCGTAATCCTAATACGTCTAGGATACACAGATTCAAGGCATTTTCTAACACATACCAATGAGCTTGGCACGTATGAGCAAACATAATGGCAATAAAGCTCTTTGCAAAGTTTGTTGGAAAGCATTATGCAGTGGATTTGATCAGAGGGTGCACGGGTGCAGCATCACGTGTTGGCACGTATGAGCAAACATAATGGCAATGCCCCCCTTCTCAGCCGGAAAAATGGTCCGAAAATGATTAGAGGGTGCACGGGTGCAGCATTTTGAAACCACAAGGACTTTAAATAAGTTTTGAAAACAGGGGGGTTTTGGTGCCTATTTTGCAAACCACGGGGGGTACTGGCGCTATTTGGCATATCTTTGGGTGATACGGACTAATAAATATAAAAATAAATTATTCCCTCCGTCTCGAAACTAATTACAAATGGATATATCGAAAAAAATAAAAATTACATATTAAAAAACTACATCAAAAGTTCTACAAAACAAAAGGTGACAAGAATATGTTATTTTATCAAATACTTAATGAAATAGCGTAAACAAACAAAAGTTATCGAGACGAAGAGAGAGAAAAATTGTAATCAAATTGGGGATAAGAGAGTACGAAAAAAGACTAAGGGCCTGTTTGGGAATAGCATTAGAGATTAGCGTTAGCGTTTTGGATAAAATTTTAACGGTGCAGATTACTTTGAAAACGCTAACGCTAATCGCTAATGCCATTCCCAAACAGGCCCTAAAGTGAAAATTGTTATCACTCTAGTCCAATTTTTTGGCTTATATTATCTTCTTAGTGGGGGTCCAATTTTGGGAAAGTTTTTCCTTTCCTTTGTTGTCCTAAAGAAGTGTGAGAGGGGCTAGGCATTGACTTACTAAACAAAGAAGAAAAACAGGATAGAGAGAGAGAAGGGTGCTCGCTGGTGCAGATTTTTCAGACCAGGCAAACAAATCTGATCATCACCATAGATCTGATCGTTGGATTGAGCTAAATTTTTTGAGATTGTTCCCAATACTTAGGGCTTCAATCTGTTTTATTTTCACATCAATCAGAGCTATGGATTTTCTGTTATCGCAGCTGGTGCAGCCTGCATTTTTGGGTGATATCTCTGATTTTTTCTTCTGTATTGTTGGTGGCTCTGTTGGTGAGCTGTGACATCCTTGTAGACTGAGTTTGGGTGTTTAAACCTCAATTTGCATAATAAGAGAAGAAGAGGGCGGACTCCCTATAAGTCCCATGATTTTTACCCTTCGCATCAAAGAGGTTTTCCGCATATGAAAATTGTTTGTCGTTTGCATCTTTACTCTTCATATTTGGTTGTGGTTCATTTGATGGGCTGCTGATATTGTATGCTTGGTGAATCAATTGTGGTAAATTGGGTCAAGAGTGTTTGGTTGGTTGTCTTGAAGTCGATCCTTGTAGGTGTTGTATCCTACTTGTCTCCCCCAACATCTAGTATTGGAGCAAAGGTTTAAACCGTAGATATGGAGTCAGTAAATAATTATATGGTTAAATTGTCATCAACCAATTATTCTATTTTGCATCCTATGATTGAAGATTTGTTATATTGTAAAGATTTGTTTGATTAATGTGGATAAAACCAATAAGGATGACATGCCCACTAAACCGGAGATGATGACGGATAGCGAATGGGAAAACTGAAGAGAAAGATCTTGGGGACTATTAATGGATTGATATTAGAATATTCAATCATGTATCCCAAGAGACAGAGCCACTCGAGTTGTGGAGAAAATTGGAGGGTTTTTATGAGAGAAAGACTGCTCATAACAATGCCTCATTGATTAAGAGGCTTGTTAAATTAGTCTCAAGTTGAAGCCAGAAAAATTTATTTCTGAGCATCTTAGTGGCTTTCAAGATATCCTTAACAAGTTGACTGTGATGAAAATTGTTTTTGGTGATGAATTGCAAGCTTTATTCCTATTGAGTTCATTGCTAGATAGTTGGGAGACCTTGGCTGTGTCTATTAGCAACTCAGCTCCAAATGGTGATTGGATGTCATTAAAGAGAGCATGTTCAATGAAGAGCTTAGAAGAAAAAAGATGGGTTTTGACATTTCATAGGCACTTGTGGTAGAGAATTGAGTAAGAAGCAAATCTACAGGTCCCAAGGGCTTTGCAAGTCAATGTATAGAACCGAATCAAATATGAACTGAAATTAAATTGATCAAAACCAAACTGAAAGATATCTGAATTGAAAAAAATCTAATCTAGAACCGATTCGGTTGACCCGATTGCCACCTCTAATTATCTAAGACTTTCTCCCTTTTTCCCAAAAAATGTTCCCCGTTACTTTCTTCATTCCTCCAAAACAATTGATTCCCAAAATAGTCCTTTGTAAGTTTTCCCAAATTATTCCTCAATAAGTTTTAATTACCTACATGGTCCTCTATAATTAAGATTTATTCCCAAAATAGTCCTTTATAATAAGGTGTTTTCCCAAATCAATCCTCAATAAATTTTAATTACCTACGTGGTCCTCTATAATTGATATTTATTCCCAAGATGGTCCTTCGTAAATAATGTTACTCAAATGAGGATTAATTGAGAGTATTTTTATTCGCTAAATTTAGAATTAATTCTTAAAATAATCATTTATAATGAAGTGCTTTCCCAAAATGGTTTTTCTAATTAAAGATGTGTATTTGATTTGAAATTTAAAAGATTTTTTAAGTTTAAAATAATTCATAAATTATTGATGAGTAAATTCTCAAAATGGTCCATTGTAATAAGTAAGGTATTTTCATAAATCAGTCATCAACAAATTTTAATTACTTATGTGGTCTCTATAATTGATATTTATTCTCAATATGATTCTTTGTAAATAATGTTACTCAAATCATGATTTATTGGGAGATATTTTAGTATTTTGATCATCAAAATTTAAAGTATATTCTTGAAATAATCATTTATGAATTAATTTATGAATTAATTGACTAAATGTAAAATTTAAAAAAACATTGACTAAAAATAATTTATGAATTATTTAATACTTAAAAAAATCTTTTAAATTTCAAATCAAATACACATTTCTAATTAGAAAAACAATTTTGGGATAGCACTTCATTATAAATGATAATTTTAAGAATTAATTCTAAATTTAGCGGATAAAAAATACCCTTAATTAATCCTCATTTGAGTAACATTATTTACGAAGGACCATCTTGGGAATAAATCTTAATTATAGAGGAACATGTAGGTAATTAAAACTTATTGATGACTGATTTGGGAAAAAACCTTATTACAAAGGACTATTTTGGGAATAAATCTCAATTATAGAGGACCACGTAGGTAATTAAAATTTATTGAGGACTAATTTGGAAAAATCTCTTAATACAAAGGACTATTTTGAGAATTTACTCTTTTTTTCGTAGCAAAATTTTTTATTTCATATAAATGGAGTGGATATAACAAAACCCTTAAAGGTGAAAGCTATACATACCTTTCCATACTTTGTTTACTGCATTCTTTCTCTACTCTACATCAGCATCACCTCAAATTCCACTTATTTCATACTTTTTCTTACCACAAGTGAGAGTGTACATACGCCAATTTACTGCAACTATTTTTTAAATATTTGAATTTAATTAATAGGATAGATATTAGTATAATATAATTTTAAAATAATTTTAAATAATTGACTTTAGAAAATATTATATATGAAATTTAAAATATCTTTATCAAAATGCAACGCATTTTGATACTATGATTTAGGAATATATTTCCTTTCAAAAACATTTTAAAATATCTTTTAAAAAATTAACTTAGACAACACTCATTTTTTAATATTTAACTTCAACAAATATCATAAATCAATTAATGCTTTTATCTAAATATCACAATAAGATTTCATTGATTTAAACGAAACAACAATATTACATAAAAGAGAATACCAACCACAAAATAATACAAAAAAACTTAAAAACAACATTACCACATAAAAGAAAATACCAATCCAAAACAAAAAAAACTTAAACAAAATAGTATTAGAAAAAAGGCAGAGTATATTTAGAAAATAGGTGTGATTAAATAATTAAATAAGTTCAAAACAAGGTTCAAAAAAACTTGTGTGATTTGATTTAAATAATTAAATGGGTTTAAAACTTGTATTTGAACAGTAATATTACTATGAGATGATCGACAAAACAATAGCCTAGTTTACCGATTGAATTTGGTACCAAAAAGGAAGGGGTGGTGTTACAGGCAGAATGACGCATAAGCTTATTTTGATACCAAATTGGTTTTAATCTATTCACACCAGGCGACCCAATAAAAGCACAATTATTAACACCTATGTATGGGATTGCAGTGCAGTCGGAATGTCCCCCTCAAGTAATTAGAACAAAATTTAAGGACTATTGATGTTTTTTTTTTTGAAAATAGGACCTTGGAATTATTTCAACAAAACACTAGCCACTTGAAAATATTTTTCTAACGTATAAGTATATGTTGAAATATGATTCGACATCAACATTACCATAACTCTCCAAATAGGAGTTCAGATGTTTGAAACCCAACGTAGAGGTTGATTCTTTGTTTTTTCAGTTGATCGAGAAACTATATTTGAAGAGATATTACAAAACATACTAGAACCAATCTTTACTAAAGAGAACAAATTTCACGAAAATGTTTATAATCTCACATTAATTTTTTTAATTTTATTGTTACATACTCCGTAATACATCAAATTTTATTAATCCCGGACATAATGATATTAAGGTTATCTCAAACAGAATAAACTTTTCACCTAAAATTATTGTATGTACAAAAAAAAAACACACGTTCCTTAGCTTGCTCTGTGATCTTTCATGTTTCTCACCACCTATTCATGGTTGCTTCCCTTCCAATCAAACCTATATGAGGACCCTTTAACAACCACAATGCACTAGTTGGTGGCGCCATCATCATAATCTATATTCACTCTCCCTTTTGCTTCAACCCTGCATTGACATACACATTTCACTCTCCACAACAACTACAAAACAATAAACAAACAAACAAACAAATAAAAATCTCCTTGGTCATCAGCTTATTTTCTAAACAACTCAATATATACAATAAATAGCTTCACATTGCATCACTAACCATCTGATACTCCGGCTTCTTGTCGTCATGGCAGCTGCTTTCTTCACCGGCCCTCATTTGCTTGCCACAGACAACAATGACCAACAGGTGACCTGATTTAAATTGCTCCCCAAACCCCCTGCCTAATTACACTATCAGGTACAATTAAACACATGGTTTCTTTTATTAATGTGCAATAACAGCCACGGCGCGAAGAGAGAGGTGGAGGGGATAAGATATGCCGGGTATGTGAAGACGAGATAGGTGTGATGGACAATGGACAAGTCTTTGTGGCGTGCAATGAGTGCCGTTTCCCTGTGTGTAAGCCATGTTACGAGTATGAGAGAAGCGAAGGCAACCAGTGTTGCCCTCGCTGCAACACCCGCTATATGCGCTACAAAGGTACATAAATGTGGAGTAGTACTTTCTCTCCTCTCCTTGAAAGGGGAGAGAAAAACAATACTTTTCAAGTACAAAATCTTTTCTGAAAAAGGACAGATGAGATGAAGCGTTGATATATATATATATATATATATATATATATATATATATATATATATATATATATATATATATATATATTAAGGAGTTAATAAATTTGAGGTGCATATGTTGCAGGTTGTCCTAGAGTCGTGGGAGACGATGAAGATCATTTTGAGGGGGAAGAATTCGACCAAGAATTTCAGACGACGAAGAATCATCCTCACTCGGTTGCTCTCAACACATACACTTCTATTTCATCCACTAACATACATGTCCGTATATTTGATCTTCGCTGCATAAAGTGTCTTGGGGTCCTAACTGATCTGATGAACCTAATTAAGATTTCATATTGGCAGGAGAATGGAGACTACCATAACAATCAGCTGCATCAAAATCGCGGTGGTTTTCAACTCATTGCAGGAAGTGGTAAGGTTAACTATTTTTAACTTCTAAAGCTTTCAGTTTTTGAGGAATGCATATTTACCCTGTCATCAATCGATCTTCAAGACCCACTGCACCACAACCAGTAACCACTTCATTGGAAATAAATTGATAACTTCAAAATGTATGCATATATGTATGCACTATGCAGTGGCTGGCAGAGATTTGGAAGACGATCATCATCAGGAGGTTTTCACTAATGACGAATGGAGAGACAGAATTGAGAAATGGAAAACGAAGCAAGAAAAGAAGGGCCTGCAGATCATCAGGTTTGGTGATGATAAAGACGATGAAGATGGCGACGACTTTCTGTAAGATGTTCCATTCTCCAATCTAAGGTTAAGTCATCATAAAATCATACATTCACATGGTATTTGAATAATTTGATCTCTTGATGACCAGCATGGCAGAAGCTAGGCAGCCACTGTGGAGAAAAATCCCAATTTCATCTAGCCTGATCAGTCCATACAGGATTGTCATTCTGCTCAGGCTAATCATTCTCTGTTTCTTCTTCCACTTCCGCATTTCGACCCCAGCCTATGATGCCTTCCCTTTATGGATCATCTCAGTGATATGTGAGATTTGGTTTGGGTTATCGTGGATTCTTGACCAGTTCCCAAAATGGTTCCCTATAAACCGCGAAACTTACCTGGATCGCCTGTCATTGAGGTTCGAACGCGAGGGCGAACCAAACACTGCGCTAGCACCGGTGGATGTTTATGTCAGTACAGTTGACCCACTTAAGGAACCTCCCATCATCACTGCCAACACTGTTCTGTCCATCTTGGCTGTTGATTATCCTGTGGAGAAGGTCAGCTGCTACGTATCAGATGATGGTGCTTCAATGCTTCTTTTCGATACCTTAGCAGAAACTGCTGATTTCGCAAGGAGATGGGTACCGTTCTGTAAGAAGTATAGCATCGAGCCAAGGGCTCCAGAGTTCTACTTCAATCAGAAAATTGACTACTTGAGAGATAAAGTTCAGCCGACCTTTGTCAAGGAGCGCCGAGCAATGAAGGTAACTAAGATTCTTAAATGCATGTTTACTTTTCCATTTATGTTAGAGGGTGTCTCAAATCGTCTAAATATGAATAAGCAAATATCTTATCATCTCTTGATATCTCTTTACATGTTAAGTTAGATCATACATATGAATGCATGCCCAGCCTTATTCTTGAAATGTTAGATCTAATGTGGCTTTCAAGTGAAGATCAACATTGAAAGTATAACCATTTGTGACAGAGAGAGTACGAAGAATACAAAGTAAGAATAAATGCATTAGTGGCAAAGGCACAAAAGAAGCCAGATGAGGGGTGGGTTATGCAAGATGGAACTCCATGGCCTGGGAACAACACTAGGGACCATCCTGGAATGATTCAGGTTTATCTCGGAAGTGAGGGCGCTCTTGATGTGGAAGGGAAGGAGCTTCCAAGACTTGTGTACGTTTCACGTGAAAAGCGACCTGGATATCAGCATCACAAAAAAGCTGGTGCCATGAATGCTCTAGTAAGTATTAAGACTTGGGATTGATTCCTTCATAGGCCAACATAATGGGAAGATTTCCCAATGTCTTACATGCTATTTCGTATATTTTATAATTTGTCTGTTGCAGAATGACTCAAAGTACTTTTTCCACTAATTACAATTTCAAATATCATACTCCCTATTTCATTCATCCCTATCAGTTGCACTAACTTCTAAGTTTTCTTGCATAATCTGAAATTCAGGTTCGTGTATCAGCAGTTCTAACCAATGCACCCTTTATGTTGAATCTGGATTGTGATCACTACATCAATAACAGCAAGGCCATTAGAGAAGCAATGTGCTTCTTAATGGACCCGCAGTTAGGAAAGAAGCTCTGCTATGTGCAATTCCCTCAGAGATTTGATGGCATCGATCGCCATGATCGATATGCTAACCGCAATGTTGTGTTCTTTGATGTAAGCAACTACCCAGTCCATTCTAAAACAGATGCATACAAAATTTAAGATGTAAAATGTAACTTTTTTTTGGTAACCTAAGATAATGTAACCTTAACTATATATCTTGGGGTGGTGACAGATCAATATGAAAGGATTAGATGGAATTCAGGGACCTGTATATGTTGGGACTGGTTGTGTTTTCAACAGGCAGGCTTTGTATGGTTATGATCCACCTGCTTCTGAGAAGCGGCCTAAGATGACATGTGACTGTTTTCCCAAATGGTGCTGCTGCTGTTGTGGTGGTTCAAGAAAAACCAAGCCTAAGAAGAAAGGGCTCAAAGCTTTGTTAGGACTTGGAAAGATTTTTAGTAAGAGCCAGAAAATCAGGGGAAAGAACTACAATAAGAAATCATCTGGACAGTTGTTCGATCTTGAGGAAATTGAGGAGGGTCTAGAGGGGTATGACGAGCTCGAAAAATCATCCCTTATGTCCCAAAAGAACTTTGAGAAAAGGTTCGGACAGTCTCCGGTTTTCATCACTTCCACACTGATGGAAGATGGTGGCCTTCCCAAAGGGATGAACCCAACAACACTAATCAAAGAAGCCATTCATGTCATCAGTTGCGGGTACGAAGAGAAGACTGAGTGGGGCAAAGAGGCAAGACTATATAATGTTCAATATAAGTGCAGCATTGATCCTTACACTCCAAAATTCAACTGCTGCTAACCATTAAACCCTCTTTCTTTCTTTTTTTTTCTTCTGCAGATTGGATGGATTTATGGTTCGGTGACAGAAGATATCTTAACAGGGTTTAAGATGCACTGCAGAGGGTGGAGGTCAGTGTACTGCTGCCCGAAGAGGGCAGCTTTTAAGGGATCAGCTCCTATAAATCTATCAGACAGGCTGCACCAAGTCCTGAGATGGGCTCTTGGTTCCGTTGAGATCTTCCTTAGCCGACATTGCCCGCTGTGGTATGCCTGGGGTGGCAAATTGAAACTACTAGAAAGGCTTGCTTACATTAACACCATTGTTTACCCTTTCACTTCCATTGCTCTCCTCGCTTACTGCACTCTTCCAGCTGTCTGCCTTCTCACTGGAAAATTCATTGTCCCAACTGTAAGTATTACACGGAATGCTATTTTTTTGTCAAAATAACATTAACATCCGCTAAAACGCTATAATACAAAATAATTTCTCTACCTCTTGCTTGTTTTTGATTTGACAGTTGAACAGCTTCGCTAGCATATGGTTCGTGGCACTATTCATGTCCATCATAGTGACGGGTGTTCTTGAACTGCGATGGAGCGGAGTGAGCATAGAGGACTGGTGGAGAAACGAGCAGTTCTGGGTGATTGGCGGTGTCTCGGCACATCTCTTTGCAGTGTTCCAAGGCCTTCTCAAAGTGCTTGCCGGCGTAGACACGAACTTCACAGTGACAGCAAAGGCTGCGGATGACGCCGAGTTTGGGGAGCTCTACCTCTTCAAGTGGACCACTCTTCTCATCCCACCAACCACTCTCATAATATTGAACATAGTGGGTGTTGTGGCTGGTGTCTCCGGTGCCATCAACAACGGGTACGGATCGTGGGGTCCGCTCTTTGGAAAGCTCTTCTTCGCCTTTTGGGTCATTGTTCATCTCTACCCATTCCTCAAGGGGCTTATGGGAAGACAGAACAGGACTCCTACCATTGTTGTCCTCTGGTCAATCCTTCTCGCATCAATCTTCTCGCTTGTTTGGGTCAGAATTGATCCCTTCTTGCCCAAACAGACAGGCCCTATACTCAAACAGTGTGGGGTAGAGTGCTAATTTCCCTTTCTTGTATCTCTGCTATGGTTTTTTTTTTTTGTCAATTTTGCTAGATGTTTCTGCTGGCAATAAGAAAAGGGAAGCTCTGGTATCAAATTTGTTGAAATATAAGAAATCATATAGTCATACAAATTTCTTGTCTTCAAAGGTTTGTATCTAAAAATTGTTGGAGATTTATTTTGAATTCAAAATTGAATTTTAAATAAATGGGCACAACTCTTTGAATAGACATGTTTATGATTAAATAACATAACTCTTGAATAATTATTTTGAATTTAAATTGGAAGTTTTTAATTAAATGTGTGTTTCTCTTACAAAAGAGACATGATCATTTATAAAGAGGCATATTATTTTCTATATATAGGGCCCATGTCACAATGCAAAAAAAGAGGGAAAAATTATGTTAGAAAAATGATTTCTTATTAATTATTATTTCATTGATTATTTAGAATAATGAAGAAATAATGTATTTATTTCTTACATTTATTCTATGATGATGGAATATTAATTAGTGTATTTTTCTATGTTTTTTTTCGTCTCCTTTGTCTCGAGACAAGTCTCGTTAAAGTACATTAACAAATTGTTTCGTAGATCAACCGAACAATTTGGTTTTCTTCATTGTATCCCAAAAGTTATATCTTGTAACCCTTGTTGCTTAAAATAGGGTAGATAAGAAACTTTTAAGAAAGTGTTTTCAAGGATCATGTGCCTTGAAGGTATATCCCGTTAATTTAACCAACCATGTTTTGAACTACGTGTGGCTTGATTCCCTTCATTGGGGTACGTAGGCAACTTAGAATGTTTTATTTTTCTAAGTGCAATCACAATAATAAAATTATTTTTTATTGTTCCAACAATCTAAAAGTTTCTTATTCTACTAGAGGTTACTGTTGGTTATTTTTCAGAATATACTAATAATTTAATATTTTCTTGTATATACATACATACATATACACACACACACACACACACACACACACACACACACACACACACACACATATATATATATATATATATCCAAAAAGAAAGATTTTATTAATGAAAACGAAAAGAAGGAGTGCGCTCGTTCTTAAGAGCGGCCATTACAGACAAAGGACACTCATTAATATTACAATAATCAATAAAAGGACAATCTTTATCTCTATCCCCCTTAGCTAAAAGATTTGCAGGATGGTTCCCCACACGAAGGGTATGCGACTTCAAAATGTCATTCTCAAAAATAAGTGTGGTCAAGATGTCAATAGGGAATGGAGAATGAGCGAAATGAGAATATTTTCCGAGTCTTCTCAAAATCTCCAAAGCATCCGTTTCATACACCAAATGAGGATGAATGTTAAGCGCCCATTTAATACCCTTGATGGAAGCATCGAGCTCTGCCTGATAAGGGGAGGAGCCAACGACTTGGAAGGAGTACGCGAATGAATCTTCCCTCCTCGTCACGCAGAATTGCAGCCCCACGCTTGAAATTGGAAGAGAAGGATGCATCAATATTGAGTTTGAGACGCCCCTTCGGAGGAGCTAACCACTTAACCACCCGAATATTGGTTTGCTGTAAGCCAGGCATCTGCAGATTTGAGATTCTTAGGGACTTTCGCTAACAGCCATTGTCGCACAAACATAGCAATGGAATCCTTGAGAGCACCAGGAGAGAAGTCTGCCTTGTCCTCATGAATAATAACATTGAGTTCCTTCCAAATGTGCCAAGAGATGATCCCCGGGAGATGCATACGAAGAAAACCAAAAATGCTATTGTTATGACCCCTCAACCACCAATTCATGAGATTATATATATATATATATATATATATATATATATATATAAAGGTAAAGAATTTTATTAAAGGCTCTCAAGGCCAAGAACATCAAGTCTTTTTACAAAAAGTATGAATTCCAAAGCTAAACACATTAGATTTATATAGAGAAGATGTGTCCAAATGTTTCGCCCAAAACCATTGCTGAAGAAGCTGGTTTGTTGCTGCCAACAACCCCTCCTTGGTAAACCTTCCATGAGAGTGAAGACAAGCATTATACGCCTTCCAAATATTCCAAGAAAGCAGCCCAGGAAGGATAAACCTAATATTGCCAAGAACACTCCTCTTATTTGATGAGAACCACCAACTAAGGAGAGTTTGCTGGAATGTTAATGTATATATATATATATGTGTATATATATATGTGTGTGTGTGTGTGTGTGTGTGTGTGTGTGTGTGTGTGTATATATATATATATATCTATCTGTGTGTGTGTGTATGTATATATATAATACTTAAAAATTTCTTTTTGGTGCCCTTAAATTCTTGGGCCCAGCCTAGATGGACACTTTGTCCCCCTATTGGGCCGACCCTATTTGTTTAGGATGAATGTGTATATAAGAGTACGGTATTGATGGCTTTTGCGTGAGTTGTTGCCTTCGCACATCTATATGAAAAACATAGAGACATTTCAAATGGATTACACTAAGTGTTCATTAACCTTCTTACAGATACATAGAGATACCAACTCTATGTGTTTAGATAATTGGTGTATGCGTGTGTACATAAGAAGGCGCTGGTGTACAATTTGATTCTATATACATAATATAAGTAGCCCTAGCCCGGCCAAGCAAACCTTCATCTATATACATGTGAGTTGTGACTTTATTTGTCTTTTTAATTTGTCTTTTTAATACTAAAGCTAAGGGATTATATTTTTCCCACCTTGTGCTCATCGTTCCATTTGATTCCTTTTATTGAGTACGAAGGTAAGTGACATGCTTGAGAACATATCATGTGATGGGCTGAATTTGATAGATGTGGTGCGAGGAGTAAATTACCGGTATATGTAAATAAAGAAAATGCCATTCCTCACATTGCAAGTCAGAGAAAAAATTCTTTGCAGCGTAAGACGGAGTTGCATACCCCGTTCCTTTTAAAATTTTAAATTGAGACGATGGAAATTTAATTAGAGACAGAGTACGCTACTTCGTGTGTGTTGATTTACTCCGTATGCTCTCAAATTCCACCCACCCATCAAACCTTATCTCTTTACTTCTTATCTCCTTTAGTTTTTACACCAGGGTTCAAGTGACATTAGACCTCAATGTCATGGATGACCCGAGGGCGCTCTGGTGCCCCGTTCGTAAAATTGACGGTTCCTACCCCTCGTAACCCCCCAGTAAATGCCTCCACTCGGCCCCGACCCGAACACATCGCCATGGAGTGAGTCACACATTGATGAAAAAAATTTAATTGTCCTCTTTAAAGACCAACATAAACTTAAAGATGTTGCCAAACAAAATATTGATAAACCTTCAATGTTTGAAGCTTTGATGATTACCAATACGGACTACAATGTGAGAGAAAAATTGACGGATGTAGAATTTCATGGATATTTTCTATACAACAAGGAGCGAAAATTATTCATGAGGCAACCAAGACCATCAGCGAAAATTTTATATATATATATATATATATATATATAGGTCCACCCTTTCTACACGATCTTCCTATTTTGGACGTGTATAGAGTACCCTAGTTCTTTTGGCAAAGGTGCAACATCAAGGGGTTAATCTTGTTCTTCATTAGCGATCTAGTGACTAATCTTGACTTGTATTTTCAACAATGCACGCGTTTCCAACATGTTTTCAAGTACTTGTGATCAAATAGAGCCACTGCCCAAAACTAGCGTGCTTTGGAAATTCATCGTTTGGTTATCCAAAATCCAAGGATACATATTTTGTGTACTACACCCAAATCTTCCCTTCTACTCATACTATGTAAGAAAGAAGTATTTGGGGACCAATTGATATTTGGAACTCAAGACAGTAGTATGGAATCAGTGAATGGGGCTCCGGTTTCGCTCGATTTTCAACACCATTGGCTACACCAGTTCAAATGGGGCAACTATTTGTAAAATTGATGGTTCCTACTCAAAATTCACTCCCGAAACCACACCCTAGCCCCCTGCCCCGTGTTCGCTGTTTTGGCAGCAATATTGGTTGCTTTAAGGGAGTAAGAACTACGGAGTATCAATTTTACGAATATTTGCTTTAATTGAACTGGTGTCGGGATTTGCACACCAATAGGACTGGTGTCAAATTAGACTTTTTACTCCTATATAAATGTCTTTGCCTTCACCCAAACTTTTACTGCATTCACTTAGGTTAACCTAACTACCCGATCATATTTTTTTTTAAATTCACCAATATTTGGCCAGTTTTTACCAAACCTAGAATCACCGAGATTCACCAAGTTTACTTAACTTCACCCCAAACCAACCGAGCCATAAGTGAGCTAATGAAGAGTGTTGTCAAATGACTAAGGACATGTTTGGCAACAGCTTCGGCATTCTGAAAAGGCTATCTAACGGCTTAGCTTTAGTGTATTCAAACTTAATCTGCACCATTGAAAAATAACCTAAAACACTAACATTAGTTAAAAACGTCGTTCCCAAACAAGGCGTAACCCTCTTCACAACAATGTCATGGATTTCAAAATAGAATGCCTTGAGCCAATGCACGGTATGCGTAGAGTACCTTGGGCAGAGCAGCTGTACATGTATTCAAATTTACCCTTAACCTTTGGATACATTTCACAGTGGGTTGATGATACAGTGCACCTAATGAAACCCCGAGGGTTGCAAAAATTTCTCAGCACACTTTGAGTCTTCACTGCATGCCTGTGGAAATTTCGATCAGCTGCTTCACTGAAACATTTTGTGCCCCAAAAGGCATCTTTTTCATCTTCACCTACTAAAACCTATAAAAAAGAACAAGAGAGACATAGCCCAGCTGCAGTCTATCCAAGATGCTGTGTATTATTATTAGTCTTACAAATAAAATGCACACATCATCTCACATCAATGTGAAATAGTAATAATATGTGTACACGCTAAACATGCATTGCCGATAACTCTTCTTCTACCTTGTCCTCCTTGCACCTCTTGACAAAAAGAAACTGACCACGCAAATGCAGAATCTGCAAGGGTCCAATGGCAGAAAGTAACTAGCCTGGTCTTTTTGTAGGAACTACCCATCAAAACAAATTTACCAAATGAATTCACCATCAAAATGAGAGCTGCTAGCAGAAAAACGGAAGCAAATGGAGTTTTCTTCATAACAGATTTGTCATACAATTAGAGTATGTTTGGATCCTAGAAATTGATGGGGAAAGGAAAACAAATGCAAATGAAGGTTACTTCTTTATGTTTGGCTTTACCTTGAAAAATCAGAAGGAAAATAAACATGCTTAATTTTTAATTTTTAACATATAATCAGTCCTCTTAGTGTCTATAGAGTAGAAATAAATAAATAATTAAATAAATAAATAAATAAATAAAATGAGTGTATACTTTAAACAAGTATCTAAATTAAATTTAGTTTTCAGTTTCCCCCAAAAAATCTATCCTTTCGATTGTACTCTTTATTTTGAAATTTTCCTTCATGTTTTCTTTCCCTAGTATTATTTGGTTTCAAAATGAACCCTAAGGGAATTTGTCAAGTATGGCTGTATGAGACCATGTTTGAACATACATTGGGCACTTCACCATAAGCACTACCTGTTGGGGCTTTGGGGAACTGCAACAGATGGCTATTTTATTACTTCCCAATTTTAGTTAGCGAATATGATAGCTTGAATTAAATGGGAAGAAACCTGGACCCAAAGGGAAAGAAAAAATACTTCACCTCTTCTTGGAGTATCGGAGGAAGGTTTTCTATGGAAAAGATGCTGTTTATTTCCTCCAGTACTCGTCTATCTTTGATATTTAACCATGTCTCAGGTGGCAGGGCCAACAATAGCGCTGTTAGCACATCATTGCATGCTGGGTGAATATCATCCGTGGAACTATCAATGCCAGAAGCACAACAGTTCGATTTCATATGAGATGTAGGCACTAGAACATCCAACTTTTGTTCTCCCTTATTGTCATCCACGATTGTCCCTGACACTATAGTAACAGATTTGTCTTCTCCATTAGCTCTGTAGCATCTCACACATGTCTCCTGGCAGCAAAACATATCTGATGAACGAAATCTCCTTGCAAAGAGACCTGCACCTTGGCAGCATACTCTTGCAGCAATATCAGACAAGTTATCTACATGACGTCCAAGTGTTGCTTCCGTTTGGCAGCATGATTTTTCAGAAGATAAGATATCCTTCAGTTGCCTATAAAGACCAGTCTCCCGAATTCGCTTCAGCACATCTTCCTAGAAAATATGTTGCATAGTGTTCAAGAATAATAATTACAGTAACAACAACAACAATAATATTATGGTTCAGTTCAGTCGGTACCAGCCCTCAGTGTCATAATATAACACCGGTCTATTTTGCCACCCTAAAGTACTTCGTTGGACCCGGGCCCGGGGATGGTTCAGGGGTGTATGGTTGTGAATGATGTTGGTCGTTTGCAGCTTTGCACTTTGCATAACTGCTGGACTGGACACATGTTAGCTTTAGGAAGTATGGTTCCGAAAGTGCCGGGTAAAGGGGTGTGGGGTAATGGAGGTGGGGGTTGGACCCAGGCCCAATGGAGGACATAGGGACTCAAATGGCCGCAACGTCATATTATGACACTGAAACCCCATGATGATGATTATTATTAACGTTATTTTTATTATATTATTATTATTATTATTATTATTATTATTATTACGGAGTATTATTATTATTATTACTTCTACCACCACCACTACTACGTATTATTTAAGGACAACCTAAAAAGGTTATAAGAATTCAGACACTATCCTAGATTCATATATTCACAATCTTTTACTGCCTACCTTCAAGGTAAGCCTTCCTTTTTCTTCATCACTCAGACTCTTAGCACCTTCCTCTTGTCTTCGAATTTCAGCTACCCACTTAATAAATTCTGTAAAGTTAGAAGGCAGAGATTCTAAAACAGTTGAAAGAACATCTTTTACATCCTTGACATTGTTGGAACTCAAAAGCGAAGGAACACCATCAGTTAAGTACTTAACAATATCAACCCAACTTTCATGCTTGCAGCTCTGCACAAATTCACATTTTAGCTTAGTGAGGACTATGCTTTTTAAGCTTTACATGGTCAGATAACAAAAGTTTGATATGAAAATATACAAACTCCACAAGAAGATTAACATAAAAACGTACCAAGGTATAAAGCAGTGCTGGAGCTCTGTGAAGCTTGGAAACAAGCATGAAACTGGAGTTTTTATGACACATCAGAAATATGGTGAATCCATTAGATCAGATGAATAACATATATCAGTAAACACACAAGGGCAGAAATTATTCTTCAAATCATCGAAAAAATGGAAGAGAAAAAAACATGATAGGAAGCATGAAAGAGTATATCCGGGGGAGGAAGGCCAAAAAGAAATGTCAACCTAGCACAAGCATGGGGAACTGGAAAGAAGTTTATCACGTATGTGCTCAGAAAATGGCCATGAAAATCCATGCATTTTTTAAATCAGCGATAATCTCAGATTGCTATATTCAGAGCACTATCAATGTGAAAATCTTGAAAGAAAAATATCGATATATCTTTCCTATCCAGCCTTCAAACATTAGCACGGAAGTACTTTTTATGATATACAAGGTGAACTTTGATCCAAAAGAGAACTAGTCATTGGAAATCTAGAAAAAGGCTAGTCATTACTGGTTTGAGAAATAACTAATCCAGCAAATGGCCCAGAATTTCCTTATTTTCCACAATCATTTTCTCTGAATTTGCTAAACCTTTTCTAAAATGGACAGCCATTTTCCAGACATACACTCTTTTAACACGTGCATTTGCAACTAGAATAATGAACTAAATCAAAACGGCACATTAAACTTCGCTAGCTTTTTTACTTTCTATGAAGTTTTAGGCAGTAAAGGTAGCATTGCATCAATGGTCTAACAGAAAGAGCCTCTTTATTTTTTACAGGGGTAAGCTTGTGTTCATCTTGACCCCTAGACCCCAATGGAATTGGGATTACACTGGATTCTTGTTGTGGTATCTACAACTAGACTAAGATAATAAAAAGTGTGCACATGCAAACCACTTACCCCCTATGTAACCCTGTCGCTTCGTCAACAGTATTCATGGCTTCCCAAAGAAGTGGAAGTGGAACCCAATGAGGAGGGTATTTAAACCGTGCAACATCTAGAATCAATGCCATATCCCTTCCGGCATGATAACCACCAATAGGCGAAAAGTGACCCGTTCCTGTCTGTGGTCATTGCAACAATAATGGATTCACCACTTCATGAGCCATAACAAAGTGGATATAATTAAAAAAAAAAGATCACGGGATGAGCTAGGGTTTATGAATTACCTGCTTAAAGGTTCCTCTATGATATGATGAAATAAGATGGCAATCATCAGAAGTGGAGCATGCTATGAGATGCTTACGGAAGTCATCTATGGTGCTCTGACTTGTGCGAAAAGCTTCCACTTTTGCTCCAGCACAACGAGCCAAACACACAACTTTTCCAAAAGAGATACCTTTAGCTTTAACCTTTTCTAGTGGCTCACAACAGTCCAACATCGATTCATCAAACCATCTCCAAGGGCCTGTGTGCAGTGCATAATTTGCTAAATCACAAAATTCATACCATGAAATCGACAACTTTGTGATTGTCAAAGGCTTAAGACTTAAAGCACGTGCAAAGAAAATTACAGCAATGAAATGATAATAACCTGACCTTTCCATTTTCTTCCTGGATCAATAGAAAGAGCATTCAATACCATGGAAAGACTAGCCAGGCCACAGTATGCAGGTTCAGATTGTGTCTGAAAATATGAAATCAACTTGAAGAAGGCTTCCATTGTTCCATTTTGAGCGGCGTCCAAGAAGAGTTGCTGCTTTTGCAATATCGCTAGTTTAGAGAATTAATGATGAGTGGCCCAAAGAAGAGTATGTATTAATTGGGAGAAATGCGAAAACTAGAAAATGTTATTTTTCTTTTATTCACATTCATTGGTCTCTTTACAATTCCTAAGCTATTTGGTAAAAACAAATGTAAACCCCCAATATTAAAAGACAGCAGGTTGGCATTCTTGAAAGCAATACTTCCCAAGTTCCAATTGACAGGGATTATCCAAAACTACTAGTAGACTGTAACCTAGTCAACATAACGTTCAGATCCATGCCAGAAGCCTCAAAAAAAGCTGTTAACATATCACGCCTATTCTGAGCAGCACAACTTCACAGTGTTCGTGTAAGCATTCCGATTATCCAAATTTCACAGGTGCGATAACTAAATTAAGTAAACCCTAGCTTTCAATAAAATAACAGGAGCCAGAAATAGTTTAAGTTAATGACCTTTCCTTCGGTAGAAGCAAAATCAATAGCCGGAGGTGACGGGAGGATCCGCCGGTAAAGACCCGCCATCGCCATTTTTCAGACGGCTGCCTACTGAGCGATCAAGCAAAACTAAAGGCTGAGGGAGTCGGGAACTTTGTTGTTCGAACCGCGTAAAGTAACCGTTTTTACTTTTAAAACAAAAAGGAAAGAAGATGCTTAAAAGACGATAGAGTGTTGGTTGAGACCATAGAGGCGGCAAAGCATTGGGGGAGTTTTTTTGTGGCCTCTTAAATGCCGGAGGAGACCACAAGCTCGAGCTAGGTGAGTTGGGGTAGTGTGAGGCACTTCGAGACTTTGGGAATTGCTGGCACATGAGGAGGTTGCTGGAGCATTTTGTGGGATGCTTAGTGGGAGAGTTTCGGGATCAGATGAGATCTCGACAGTGTTTTGGAAGCAGGTAGGATGCGGTGGGTTGGTATGATTAACCAAACTCTTCAATGTTATCTTCTGTAGGAGTGAGGTTACGCTAGGGGTCTGCCTTTAGCCCTTTCTCGTTCGCCTTAGTGATCGACGTCCTAACACGCGGAGTCCAACAAGAAGACCCATAGTGCATGCTTTTTGCGAATGATATTGTGCTTATCGATGATACACGCGAGGGGCTAAATTGAAGAATTGTATTGTTCAATAATAAAATACAAATAAATCACCTCCCCAATATAGGAGGTATATTGGAAAGGAAACAATATTAAATACAAATCCTATACAATCAAGGAATCTACCAAATATAACAGTAATATTAAATATGTAATATATACTTTACATATTTAACATGCTACCAGCTCCGTTGGTGAACTGCGGACTCCGAGGTTCTGTATGAAATCGTTGAAGAGAAGTGATGGTAGTCCTTTCGTAAAGATGTCAACGTACTGCAAGGAAGATGGTACATGAAGAACACGAACATGTCCTAACGCGACCTTGTCTCGAACAAAGTGAATGTCAACTTCCACATGCTTGGTGCGTTGGTGCTAGACAGGGTTGGAGGATAGATAGACGGCACTCACATTGTCACAAAAGATGATGGTGGTTCGGCGCAGCGGTTGATGAAGCTCAAGAAGTAGATTACGTATCCAACTGGTTTCTGCTACGGCATTTGCGACCGCCCTGTATTCGGCCTCAGCACTCGATCGGGAGGTGGTTTGTTGCCTTTTGGAGGACCATGAGACCAGGTTGTCCCCTAGGAAAACACAGTAGCCAGAGGTGGAGCGGCGTGTGTCTGGACACCCGGCCCAGTCCGCATCAGAATAGGCCCGAAGAGAGTCTGGCGAGGAGCGAGTAAGAGTGATCCCATGAGTAGTGGTACCGTGAAGATAGCGCAGAACCCGTTTTAAGGCAGTGAGATGAGTGGTCCGAGGCGAATGGAGATAGAGGCAGAGCTGCTGAACTGCATAAGTGAGGTCCGGCCTGGTGAATGTGAGGTACTAGAGGGCTCCTACAAGGGAGCGATAGAGGGACGGATCCGCAATAGGTTCGCCTGAGGTGGCAGACATTTTCCCTTTTGAGTTAACAGGAGTGGAGATGGGCTTACAATGACGCATGCCTGCTTTGTCCAGAATATCATGAGCGAATTGAGTCTGATGTAAAAAGAGGCCTTCCTTGGTGCGCTGAACATTGATCCCGAGAAAGAAGTGTAACTCGCCCATATCGGTCATAGCAAATTCGATCTTCAGACGGTCCGTGATCCGTGTGAGAAGGGCGGAGGATGAGGCAGTGAGAACAATATCATCAACATATAGAAGTAGATAGGCCATGTGCGTGCCATGAGAATAAACAAACAGAGAAGTATCCGTCTTGCACCCCTGAAAGCCGATGTGCTGAAGGAAGCCGGCAAACCGCTGGTACCACGATCGAGGAGCCTGCTTTAAACCATAAAGTGCTTTCTTAAGTTTGCAGACATAGTGGGGCCGGGATGGGTCCTCAAAACCAGATGGCTGGCTGGCATAAACTGTCTCTTGAAGATGTCCATGGAGAAAAGCATTTTTGACGTCCAGCTGATGGACGGGCCAACCCCGAGACAAGGCAAGACTGAGGACGATGCGAATGGTGGCGGGCTTAATGACCGGACTGAACGTTTCGCTGTAGTCAACGCCATAACGCTGATTAAACACACGGACTACCCAACGAGCTTTGTACCTGGACAAATCCCCTGTAGGGCCAAATTTGTGACGGAAGAGCCACTTCCCTGAGATAAGATTTTGG